CCAACCTATTCAATAGCCATAGGCTTAATAGGCTATGGCTGTGGTCACCAACCAGTAGATCGGGATCTACCAGTAGATCTTGGAGCCCTGATGGGTGACCTTGACTGATTTGGCTGGGAGACTATCAAGAGCTGGCACTTCAGCTGCCCCTCCTACCGCTGCCCAGCTGCTTCTGCCCAGAGCCTTAGAGCTGCCCCTGAGAGTTTCCTGCTTGTTTTGCAGGGTGGGGGAAACAGAAGCAGGGGAGCACTGATGTCTCTCTGTCCCCCTCTCCTGTACCCCATATTCACAGAGGAAGGAGGGTGGGGCCTCAGCAAACGGATGGAGCAGGGATAGATCCTAGACTGATTTAAACTCAAAAAGTGATCTTGTGCTTAAAAAGGTAGGAGACCACTGAGCTATGGAGATTTAAAGATCAACAGCTGTAGAAGTGAAATAGCAGAATGTTATCTTAATTACCTGATTAGCCCTCATCTGAAAATAAGTGAGCATTTTGCTCTAAAACACCAATATCTGTCAGACCTGACACAGTTCTAGTTTTCTTGCCTGAAATACGTTAGAGAAACAGGCTAAAGAGTAAAACATTCCCTACTTTAATTGATAGTGCCTGTCACATGCTGAAAACATGCCAACATTTTTTGGCTGTGTGTGTTTTAATTTTATAGAACATCCACTAATAATAAACAAAGTAGATAAGACACAGTTACAATTGAGTGGAATATGTAAAGAAACAGAAAATAAATAAAATACACCAGCTAGGACAATGATGTGAATATTGATGCTAACATACATAAAACATTACACAATGTGTCCAAAATGTGGTCTCAAAGCAGCAATCTGCCAATGATACTCCAGCCCCTTTTCCAACTTGTAATAGTTTGTACAAACGCCATACTGGGCAATAAGGAGCTCCTCTGGGCTCAGCCTTTACATCCTGCCCCTCCCCACCAGCATATTGACCCAGTTCATTTCTGTAATTCCCTGTGTTTTTGTTTATGGTCTACGCTGGAAGGAGAGAGACCAGATCTAGGTGGAGAACCAAAGCATAAGAGAAGTCAACATCCAATCCAAGAGGGAGAAAGCTGACAGACCAGGTTTGGACACAAAAATGCCAAGTGATGAGGTGACACCCTCCTTGCTACAGAATGTTGTCAATACCTGGGTGTAAGAGGCCCAGTGAGGGCAGCCCTAGGGGACTCCTGGTATCATACCTTTTGATAGTCCTCAAAGTGTCCTAGAATGAAGCCTGGTGGAGTGGGAAGGTCTAAGCCCCCCCACAATACCTCCTTCTGCATTTTTCAAGGAGCATCACCGAATGGTACTCCCCCGAATGTTGATCAGTCCAAGGTGACTTTCTACCACTGGTAACACTAGTTTAAAGCAACTTGCAGCTTCTGACTATTCTAGCAGGTGAAACTGTTTGAAAACTAAATTTAAACATGGTGTCCTTTTAAACTGAGTCCTTCTCCAGTAGGGAGAAGCCCAAATACTTCTAACTGTTTCTCAATGAGTTCTCCCAAAAGGTTACCTCAGAGTCTTTCTGGAGCTAATTTTTCATAGATCACTAGCCTTACTCTTTGATATCTGTGTTGAACCTGCAAGAGCTTGAAGCATATATACACATCACTATATATCAGCGTCAAAAACTGTGCTGATGGACAGTTGAGATTGTTTGGTGCCTGGCTGTCCCCTTGCAGAACACTGAACTGAGCAAAACTCAAGTTTCTGAAAATCAGGAAATGCTGAGTTGCCCATGCAACCTTAATGGTGCCCTCTTTCTGCACTGCTCCACAGTGGCCCGTTAACACATACACCTCTATGCTGCCACTCCCATAGGGTATGTCTACACTACAGAGTTAGTTCGAACTAACGGATGTTAGTTCGAACTAACTTTGATAGGCGCAACACTAGCGCTCCACTAGTTCGAACTTAATTCGAACTAGCGGAGTGCTTAGTTCGAACTAGGTAATCCTCATTGTATGAGGATTAAGCCTAGTTCGAACTAGCTAGTTCAAATTAAGGGGTGTGTAGCCCCTTAATTCGAACTAGTGGGAGGCTAGCCCTCCCCAGGTTTCCCTGGTGGCCACTCTGGCCAACACCAGGGAAACTCGTCT